ACCCTGCTCCTACCTAGAGCCCAGCCCTGACTTTCTCTGTGGGCCTCTTTGAGGAGTGAGGGGTTAGGAAGCCTGGCTGCCTTTCCCAGTGCTCTGGTTCCCTCAGTGGAGAGGTATGTGACCTTGTGTGTTGTGACTCTTCCTCGTGTGAAGCCAGCATGTGGAGCCCTTTCCCCTCAACTCTTGCCCCTTTTCCAGCCTCAGAGGGACCTTGGGATGTGAGAACAGGGAAGGTCCCTGCAGCTGGGCTGATGCAGCCTTGCCGGCTCCCCGTTCCAACGGCTGACTGGCTGGTTCGGGGGGCCCAGGCCCGGTTAAGGGAGGCACTTGGCAGGGAGGATAAGTGCGTCATCAGGCGCTGTACTGCCAAACCCCAGATCTGCTTAATGAACGATGACGTGGGCCCGGCTGGGGAAGCTGCCAGTCACTGGAGGCAGTCTGTGCTAAGGGCAGGCAGGGGGACAGAGTCGCCATATTTCCCGGGGCTGGCTCTGTGTTCCTGGGGGGGCTGGACCAGGGTTGGGTCGTTGTGCCTGGGGCACGTGTACATGTGCACGCTGACTGCGTTCATATTTACTCTTGTGCCCAAAGGCCCTTTTCTGACCTTGGCACCACCCCCAGATGTGTGCAAATGGACATTGGTCTCTGCGTGGCTCTTGGGGCACTGTGGCTGGAGAGAGCATAGGAAGCAAGGAGGGGAGAGTGGTATGGGGCTTGGGCACGGGCTGAGGGCTTCTGTCTTGCAGCATCTTCCAAAATCACCAGACCTCAGCACTTTGGGGTCACTCAGGTCCATAGTGTGAGCAGGGCCCCTCTGCTTAGTGGGAATCTGTGCAGAGGGGCCGAGCTCAGGTCTTGCAGTTCAGTCCAGGCAGGTGGCTGGTCCTACAGCCAAGGTGCCCTCTTTAATTAAGGAACAAAACCCCCTTCTGTCCCTGAGTGGGGCCTGGCCCCTCTGGCTGGGAGGCTGAGCTGGACCAGTGCTTGGAACATCACATTAGACACCCCCTGCTTGGCTGCAGCCCAGCCAGCTGTGTGCCCTGTTGTATGTGCAGGGCCCCACATGCCTTTGTTTACCACCTTTTGCAGGAGTGCTGTGTCAGATGCACTTAAGGGACCTCTCTGCTACCCTGGGAGGGAATCCAGGGCTTGGTGGCAGCCTCCTTCCTGTGCATGCGCTGATAAATAAGAGGGATGCTGCTAGCTCCTGGTCCTGGTGGGCTCAGCTGGCTGATGCAGTGTGGGGCTCAGGGCTCCCTGTCTGCTGGCAAAAGGCCCTTCCTTCCATCTGGCCCCCTTTGGAGGGCCAGGCCAGGTTTTCTGCCACCAGTGATGCTGGGTGAATTCCCGGGCTGCCTGGCACCCGGAGGGAGGTGGGTAGGCTCTGTGTGCCAGTTGTGATCTCTCCCCTGAAGCAAATGTGTCACTGTGCCGCTCTGTCCCCAGGCAGCTTCTGGCAGCTTTGATCAGGCAAAATAGAATTTCACAGTTGGGAGAGAACTCACAGCTGAGTCTCCAGCTGCACCATTTGCCCCATAAGGAAACTGAGGCCCAGAGGGAGGGAGGGACTTGCTGGAGCTGTGAGGGTGAGAACCAGGGCTGGAAGAGGCTCTGCCCTCATGAGGTGCACAGTCCGGCAGCAGGTGGCTCTCCCGTTCTCTCTGCACAACACCATGCGGCCATCCCAACGATCCCCCTGACTTCTGGCCACGAGGGTCCTCCCTTTGCCCCAGAGCTCCTGTGGGTTCCGCCTTGATTCGCCCCTCGGCTCCTGCTGCTGGGCTGGTGGCACCTGTTCCAAGGGGCTGGTCTCCATCCTCCAAACGTGTTACAAACTGCTTGAGGCCAGGGACTGTGTCTTTTGCTTTTTTCCTTTATTTGTTTCAAGTTTTATGCCTTTTGATTTGACATCACTTATTTGGGGACATAACATGCCTCGTGAGCTTTTCCTTGTAGGTCAGACAGGACACGGGTCACAGGTCGGTGTGTCTCTGGGACTGCAGTGTATGCACACATGTTAAGCAGCCCCTGCTTTGGTCATTACAGAGGGGCTGGGGTGCCCATTCCCATCCTTGTGGGTGTAGGGGATCAGGATGACCCAGAGTTCCTCTCTGCCCCCTGGGCGGCTGGGACGTCTTCAGAAGCCATCGAGGTGCTTCTTGGCCAGAGCGCGCAGGTGCCCCTCTGAGGCTCGCCTCCCTGGTGGTCTGCTCCCAGTACTTCCCATTGTCACAGAAGCTCAGAGTGGGAGAGGGCTCGGGAGCCATCTGCAGGCCTTTCTAGAAGACCGGACTGTGGGAGACCTCCCCAAACAGCCCATTCTCCATGGGGGGCAGCTCTGGTAGGAGAAGTTCTCAGATGAAGCCTGGTTCTGTCCTCTGAAGACCCCTGGAGCCTCCCTCTCTCCATTTCCTTCAGCTAGGCAGCTCTTATCTGAAGTGCTCGGGAAGACCTGGGTTCAGATCCAGCCTCAGTCACTTAGTTAGCTGTATGACTTTGGACAAGTCCTTTAAGGTCTGAAGGAGCAAGTGTTTCTTAAGCACCTAGGTGTGCCTGGCACTGTGCCAAGTGCTTTACAAATATTCTCCCATGTGATCCTCACAACCACCCTGGGAGGTAGGTGCTGGTATTATCCCCATATGTAGGTGAAGACACTGAGGCAGGTGGAGATTAAATGACTTTCCCAGGGTCACGCTGCTCCTAAGTGTCTGAGGCTGGATTTGAACTCGGGTCTTCCTGACTCTAGGCCCCGTCCTCTATCAATTTCAACATTAGCTGTCTCGAGCCAACCTTCAAGCACTATATAAGTGCTTGGATAGAATATTTGAGGCCCTTCCCCATGCTGTGTGTACATGTGGCTTCAGTCCCCCTCATCCTCCTTTTAATCCCCTGCCTCTCATCTGCTCACACTCAGCAATGGTCTCATAGGTCGGTGGCTTGTCTGCAGTCACAGCAGAGGGAGGGGCTCCTTCCCCTGGATTGAAGGTGGGGGCTCCAGTGGGTAGAATCCTTGAAAACAGCCATCGGACCTGGTTAATTTGCCCCTGCCAATGAAGAATCGGTGGTCATTAGGGCAGAGGCTGGATTTGGCTTCTTTAGGAAGGCATGGATGCATTAGACTGCCCTACCTGGAGTCAGGCTTTGGGTTCAGATTCTGCCTCTTCCACTGTCTGCTGTCTCACTCTCGGTTTCCTCACCTGTAAAATTAGAGTATTAGATCAGGCTCCTTCCAGCTCTCGGTGTACTGTTTCGTGTTGTGTATTAGTTTTAGGTGTGTGTGCCTTGCACACAGTGCATGTTTACCAAATACTACACACAGCAGGTATTTAATGAACAGTTATTATGTAAATGGAAGTTTACCTTTGCTCCAAATAAAAAAGTCCTTGGTTGTTTGATTTGGCAAACAAGGTTGTTAATGTTTTCAAGCATTGAAGGAGCCAACTTTTCCAGATCTCCAGCAGGTCAGGAGCACTCCTCAAAGTCACTGAACACTGTACTTCGAATCACAGGTTGAAAACCAGAAATCTTTATTAAGCACCTCCAGTGGTTTCTGTTGTCAAAGCAGGTCATCTAAAGACTTTGGCGACCTAGCCTGAGGTTGTTTACGAGGGAAAGGAGCCCCATGGGTCATCTGACGCCTTTGTTTTACAGGTGACCAAACTGTGAGAGGGTCTCTGACTTCACCTCAGTCACAGGGCTTCAGTAAGAACCAGCAGTGCAGGTCCTCAGGGGATTTGCAATCTCTACTCTGACCCCAGCGCCCCAGCACTCCCAGTTTGTGCTGAGTGGTTTACTGCTCATTTGTATACCCCAATGTGTGTTCATCCCAACTCCTTCCTTACTGTGTCTGAGGGGGAGTTGTATGGGCCTGGGGGGTGTGCAGTGCCAGGGCTACCATGGGGAGGAAGTTCACTCCCCAAAGCGTTGGAGTCCCGCTGAGGAGGGGGTCATCATTTGTGCCTGACCCTGGGGCCAGCCTGGGGGTCCCTGAGCTGGAAGGAAGTGCCTAAGACCTGTTGTCCAGGCTCCATTTCCTTCCCGGCTCAGCCTGAGTGGCCAAGGAGTACTTGCCTGGCCAGCCCCAAGGTCCCTTGGAGGGCGGGAGCCGAGAGGCAGGAACCAAGGCCTCCTTCCTGCTCCAGCTGGGAGCAGCCCAGTCAGCAGTATAGCCAGCTGCCCTCTGGGAAAGTGGGATTTTCCAAGGGGTTGGCCTTCTGTGAGGGGCCAGGGTGCAGCCTCTTCTGTCTATGACATCCAAGGCCCTTCCCAGGCTGGCTGCACCCAAACCCTCATCCCCCCTTGTAGATCTTTTTTCTCTGCTGTTCCCACTCCTCGAGGTATAGTTATCCAAATCCCAGACCTAGCCCAACCCCCCCACCCCCGTCTTCCCTGATTTTGCATTGGGCTGCAGTGGCAAGAGCTCTGGGTGTGAATCCTGCCCCTACCCCTTGCTCGGTGTGTGGCCCTTGGGCAAAGCTATTTCAGTCATTAATAGAGGGGCATTTATTCAGCTACTCCCACAGTCCAGGCACTGTTCGAGGCTTTGTAGACACCGGGACAAAAAGGAAATGATGCCTTTCCAAATGGGGCCTGTTCTAGGTGACCCTGGAACAGAGATGTGAAGGCCGGGGCAGGGGACTGGCCAGTGCTTCAGCCACATCCTCACTGAGCATCTTCAAGCAGAGCCTGACTGCTTGGAACGGGTTGTCAGGGGAGGGTCTGGGGGCCTGCTGGGTTGGACTGCATTGATGTCAGACTCAGAAACGAAGGCTGCTGAGCCTGCCAGGCTGCGCGTTTCCTAGCATCATCTTTGTTGTATCCCTGTATTTATTTTATTTCCCAATTACATTTTAATCTGGCCCCCTTTCACCCCTGGCCTTCCTCTCTACAACGAGATTTTTGAGATTCATCTCAGTGCATTGCATGGGCCTGGCCTACAGTGATCTCTGTAAATCTCCCTCGTCAGTTGGCTGATTATGTCTGTTTCCCTGGGTGCTCAGGTGGCGGTGCCCACACGTGTCGGGCAGGCCTACGTCTACGAATCGCCCAAGCCCGAGCAGGACGAATACGACATTCCGAGGCACCTGTTGTCTTCAGGGACCCAGGACATCTACGATGTGCCCCCTGTCAGGGGCCTGCTTCCCAGCCAGTATAGCCAGGAGGTGAGGATGCCTGGGTTGGGGAGGGATGCGGAAGGAGGAGGGCTCCTTCCCCTGGGGGCTCTCCTGCATTTCCAGTGCTCTGCAGAAGGAAGCTCAGCCTCCACTCCCTAGCATCTTCCAATTCTTGACGCCCCTAGGGTCACAACTGCCCTTACCCCTAGTCAGCAGTGGCCGGGTTGTGGGGGGCGTGTGGCAGGAAGATGGCTCTGCCATCACCATGGGCTTTCTCCCTGCAGGTGTATGACACTCCCCCCATGGCTGTGAAGGGCCCCAACAGCCGCGACCCATCCCTGGACATCTACGACGTGCCTCCCAGTGTGGAGAAAAGCCTGCAGCCGCCAAATCACCATATGGTGAGTGAGCCTGGGTGTCATCTGTGTCATCCCCCTCCCAGCAGGCCGGGTCTTCCTGGTGTGGACCCCTGGAGGCGTCTGTAGGTAGACTCGTGAGAATTTAGAGGTGTCTGGTACCTGTTGGACAGGGGATCTTGCAGAGAGGGAAATTCATTACTCAAGATGACAAAGGTAGTGAACCTCAGTCCTTCCTCTCGTATACATACATGTACATGCCCTTGCCGTGTACACACACCTTCTCCAGGCACAACCACAGAAGGCCCTCTGCATGCACATGCATGTGTGCCCGGGTGTGTTCTTGAAGTTCCCTTCTCACAGATCACGGCCCCTGGCCGTTGGCATGGTGGGGCCTTCAGTGATCCCCGCTATCTGCAGTGTACGCTCAGGCCTTGGATTTCCCAGAAGGGCAGGACCCTGACAGTCTCTCCCATTGCCTTCCAGGTCTATGATACTCCCCCATCTGTGAGTAAGGACGTGCCCGATGGACCCTTGCGGGAAGAGACCTATGATGTGCCCCCTGCTTTCTTGAAACCCAAGCCCTTCGACCCCGCCCGGCACCCACCGATCCTGGCGCCCTCGCCCATCCCCGCCGCAGACCCCTACCCGGCTGCTGATGTCTACGATGTCCCCCCGCCCGCTGGCAAGGGCGCCCCCGCCACGGCCCCGTCCCAGGAGATCTACGACGTGCCCCCCGGCCTGCGCAAGCTGGGGCCCGGCCCCCCCGGTTCTGTGTGTGATGTTCCTTGGGACCTGGCCCTGGCCGGCAGCCGGGCTGCTTCTCTGGAGGCTGATGGAGAGAGCGCATACGACATACCGCCGCGGGCCGACGGCAAGCGCCTGTCGGCCTCGAGTACCGGCAGCGCCCGCAGCAACCTGTCCTCCTCTTCCCTGGATGTGGTCCCGGTGAAGGAGACGGCCGCGGGCAGGGAGCCGCTGCCCATGGACCTGGACACGGCCGTGGAGACGCTGGCTAAGCTGCAGCACGGCGTGAGCGTGTCCGTGGCCCACCTCATGTCCTTCGTCGGCGGCAGCGGCTGGCGGGACCCCGATCTGCTGGAGCCCCAGATTCCCAGCCTGCAGGCTGCCGTGGGGGAGGTGAAGGGCGCGGTGCGGGAACTGCTGGAGTTTGCCCGAGGGGCTGTGGGCAATGCCGCCCACTCCACGGACCGTGCCCTTCACGCCAAACTCAGCAAACAGCTCCAGAAGATGGAAGACGTGTACCAGACGCTGCTGGCACACAGCCAGGCCTTGGACAGCTGCCAGTGGGCCCCTGAGCTCGCTGGTGGCGGGGGGACAGCCCCCGGGAGTGCCCGACAACCTGGACCACTTTGTCACGTGCTCCCGAGGCGTCCCCGATGATACCAAGCGGCTGGCTTCTTTCTTGCACGGTAATGCTTCGCTGCTCTTCAAAAGGACAAAACCGTCCAATGGGGCTGACCCCGAGGCAGGGAGCCAGCCGGCGCCTCCCCCCGGCCACTACCCCCAGCCCCCTGCCCCCCCCACCACCGGTACCCCCTCGGACAAGGCCAGCAGCATCCAGTCGAGGCCTCTGCCCTCCCCTCCCAAGTTCACTTCTCAGGACTCCCCAGACGGGCAGTATGAGAACAGCGAGGAAGGCTGGATGGAGGATTATGACTACGTTCACCTGCAGGTAGGTGGGCGTGCTGGGGACCAGGCCCGAGGGACCCAGGGAGATGAGCTTGGTGAGGCCTGGGAGACCGGGGTGTTCTGGAGCCCTGGAGCGGAGGGGAAGCTGCGTGGCTCAGAGGCCGTACAGGCAGAGCCTTTACTGAGAGCCAGGGTCAGGTCAGAATTGTGAAGTGAGACATTCCCAAGCCTCTTGGTGTCCTGGCAACACTGTAGGCTGGGAGGGTTTGGAGCTGGTCCAGGCCGAAGCCTTGTCTCGCTCCCTGTCGGCTCCTTCCCCCCACCCTCTTTTGCCCTGCCTCCTTCCCCTCTCTCCCCTCCACCTTGTATCTGTGTTCTCTCACTTCCCTATTCCATGTCCCTATCCTTCCTCATCCCTCTTTCCTCCCTGGTCTTCTCTTTACCTTCTTCTCTCTAAAAGAAATTGCCTCACCCTTGAGCCAGGCCCACAGGGTGGTGGCTGACTGGGTCTCATCCCCCAAGGGTCCTGGGGGCCCAGGAGGGACAGACAGACGGGGCGGTTATTCGTGCTCCAGTAGCCAGGAGGCCAGCCGGGGCCCCAGACGGCCCCCTGAGACGGTGGCAGGGAGGACTCTGGGTCCGTCTGGGCCGCTTGTGTGCTCAGACCCACGGTGCGACTAGGCTGGGAGTTAGCGCTGTCAGAAGCCGGGACTCTGGGCTCCTCCGCGTCCATTCAGCATGCTTCTGTGGAGCACGCTGAGTACTGTGCGCTGGGATAGAGTCAGAAGGAAGGGTCCCTGCCCCCAAGGACTCTTACTGACTTCTTGGGGCTGTCCCCCGGGTTCCACCTCCTGCTTCCTCCGGGCTCATTCTCTTAATTGTTCACCCCAGTCCCTCTTCAGATCAGTTTGTATTGGGCCGTGTGGGGGAAGATCTGGGCAACTAGAAGCCAAACTGAGCACGCCCACCACCTCGCCATCAGCCTGGGCCCCCTCTCCAGCTCTGGGCTGGCCCCTCTCTCGTGAGGACAGAAGGGTCCAAGGCCAGGAATTCCGCCCCTCTAGGGTAGGACCTGGATGGGGAATGGCTGGGAAAACGTCATTGGGTTTTTTTCCCCAAGTGCAGACTGAATTGCGGGCTGCCGTCGCCCCCTTGTGGGCACACAGTGGACTTCCCATTCCTGGCCCAGGCAATGCTCCTCTTTTGTGGAGGCAAGGGATGCATGTGGCAGCCCTGCTGGGCTGGACTTGTAACCTTGGTGTGCTCAGAGGACAGGGACCTGGGCTAAGAGGCAGCCATGTGCAGCAGCGAGGGCCGCGTCCTCATTATGTCCACCTCCCTCCCTCCTAGGGAAAGGAAGAATTTGAGAAAACCCAGAAGGAGTTACTGGAAAAGGGGAACATCGTTCGTCAGGGGAAGGGCCAGCTGGAACAGCAGCAGGTGAGTGGCCGTGCCCTGCAGGGACCACGGGGACACTTTTCTGTAGCAAGTTAAAACGGGCAAAGGCCTTTCTCCCGGCAGGGCAGTGTGAGGCTTATCTGTGTGTTACAGATAAAGGGACTAACCTTTGCGGGGTGAGTGGCTAGCCCAGGCTCACATAGCTGCTGGGGTCAGAATCACCCCAGACCCACGTCTCCAGGCCAGAGGCCCTCGCGCTCTTCCAAACTGCCACCCTCACATATACAGGTTAGAAAGAGAAAGGGTGTCCAGCGGGTGCCCCCACCTCAGCTGCACCGGTGACCTACTGTGTGACCTTGGGCAGCTTAGAGTCTTCATCTGTGCAGTGGGGGCATCGATGCCTGCCCTGTCTGTGCCAGAACTCTGGTCAAGATGAGGCGATGGTTGTGAAAGGGCTTTGAAAGTGTTCATATGCCAGTAGCAGGTGCTAAATTGATATGTAGGGGCCTGAGTGACGTAGAAGCTGGGTCTGGCCCCAGAGACCCTTCTGAGACAAGCCTTTTCAGAACGCCCCCAACCATCTGACCGTTTTGTTGTCTTCCTGCCAGCTGAAGCAGTTTGAGCGGCTGGAGCAGGAGGTGTCCCGGCCCATCGATCACGACCTCTCCAACTGGACACCCTCCCAGCCCTTGATCCCGGGGCGGCCTGGGGGCCTGGGTCCCTCGGACCGGCAGCTGCTGCTTTTCTACCTGGAGCAGTGTGAGGCCAACCTGACTACCTTAACCAATGCCGTGGACGCCTTCTTCACCGCCGTGGCCACCAACCAGCCCCCCAAGATCTTCGTAGCCCACAGCAAGTTTGTCATCCTCAGCGCCCACAAGCTGGTGTTCATCGGCGACACCTTGTCCCGCCAAGCCAAGGCCCCGGACGTCCGCAGCCAAGTGACCCACTACAGCAACCTTCTGTGCGACATGCTTAAGGAGATCGTGGTGACCACCAAGACGGCAGCCCTGCAGTACCCCTCCCCCCACGGCCGCCCAGGACATGGTGGACCGCGTGAAGGAGCTGGGCCAGAGCACTCAGCAGTTCAGGCGGGTCCTGGGCCAGCTGGCCACGGCTTGAGGAGGCCCAGCCAGGGCCTGTTTCAGGGACCACAGTGGGGTGGGGTGGGAGCTGGAGCTGTGAAATGACTCAGTCCACGGGGCCTTGGGGGGGAATCCACTCCCTGTGGCCACAGACTGTAAATGAATGTGTACATATTTAAAAAGAAACAAGCCACAGGAATCAAGAGGCCTAACTCAGACTGGGAGGCCTGACAAGAGACTGAGTCTGCTGCCCCTCTCCTGCCTGCCCAGCCCTCACCTGTCCCTTCGGCTCAAGGAGGAGCCAGCACTGGCATGAAGCCCCTGTGTTCTAAGCGCCTGGGAAGGAGCAGAGAGAAAACACTAAAGAACTATTTTTCATTATTGATTTTCCAATCATTTGACTAATGGTCTACATTTAAATAAAAAACAACAACAGCAGCAAACTAAAAGAACCCGAACCTTGTCTGTGAGTGAAGCGGGTAAGAGAAGGCAGCTTCTGCATCCTCCAGAAGGAGGTGGGATGAGACGGGAGCCCTGGGACAGGGAGGAGGTGCCATCTGATCCGAGGATCACGGGTGCGGGACCTTAACGGCCCGCTTCCATTTCAATATCCCCAGACCAAAGCCAGGGAAGTGAAGTCATCCAAGGTTACCCAGGGAGAGACTAGCAAGTTGGGATTTGGGTCCAGGCCCCCCCACTCCCTGCATACCTCTCCTTCTACCTGCCCAGCACCTGGGGGAAACAAAGGAAGCACAAATTTCCAAAGGGAAAGGCTTGAACAACACTACCCGTCAACACACCCTGTTGTTTCTTTTGGAAAAAATACATTCAGTAAAGTTGGTGAAAGTTTATGTCCCCACCACCCCCATGTCCTGCTGGCATTTCATACAGCATGGGCACATGGCAGGAATAGGAGTCAAAATTGAGGCCCTGCAGCGGGTGAATGGCTAGTGGCCCCTGGGTGCACCTTGGGAGGTCAGGAGCCTGCTAGCTAGACAAAGGTTGGCCCTGGATGTTAGGTGGGCTTCGTCTTCGTTTGAGGTGTCCTGGGAAAGCCCCAGGCAGGTGGGGAGCACAATCCATGTGGCCACAGGCACACAGACCTACAGTGGTCTTGAGGTCTGGTGGTTAGGGTGTAAAATGAGACTGTTGGAGAACCAGGGGCAGGGACCGGCCATGAACGTGGCAGACACTCTCCAAACCATGTTCACACCGTGATTTTAACCCTGGCTTCTGTGTGCCCACTTCCCTGCACCCTTCACCTTGATCATGAGCCCACAGGGCACAGGAGTGGCTGCAGGGAGCCTCTGAATTAGGCCTCAAAGTTTAGGTGTCAGTCCTAATGAGCTAGCTGTCATGTAGGCCTGAGTTGGAATCTGGCCTTAGACACTCCCTAGCTGTGGGACCCTGGGCAAGTCACTTAACCTGTGTGCCTCTATTTCCTCAGCTGTAAAGTGGCGATCATAACAGCACCCTCCTCCCAGGGTGGGTGTGTGGATCAAATAAGATAATCTCCAGTGTTTAGCATAGTGCCTGGCACGTAGCAGGTGCTCTGTAGATGCTTATTCCCTTCACTTCATCCATAGACATGGACAACTGTATACCAGGTGCTCCTGGGCCCTGGGATCCAGAGATAAAAGGGACAGTCTGCCTTGAAGGGGTTCACAATATATAGATATTTGCAAAGGGAATTTGGGGGTGGGGGGCAGGTGAGGGGAAGGCAGTAGCAACTGAAGGAATCAGAAAAGTGTCAGCGTAGAAAAATGGTGATGATTGAGCCACCCACAATCCTGGGATGACCAGGCAGCACACTGACCCTGTCCACTGCCCCAGAGCAGGAGCTGTGTCTAAAACCCAACCCCCTGAAGGCTGAGGCTCTGGGTCCAGCTCTGCCACTGAACTCCCTGCCTAACCTTGGCTAAGTCCCTTCACCTCTGTAGGCCAGACCCTGCTGCTTTAGGTGAGCCAGGGCCTCCAGGGCAGATCAAAGGGCTGAAGGCAAAGCAGCTAGTTTTGGTGTGTTTGGGGGGCCCCAGGGACAGCAGCGCTCATCTTATGGCTGGCAAGATCAGCTGTAACAGAAGTGCTTTCCACCAGCAGCTCCAGACTGGGGCAGTGTATGAAACAGTCCCTCATCCTAGCAGTGGTCTCCAAGGACACCCTCCGACCATGAAGCCCACTCGGTTCTCTGCCCACCTCGACCACCAGAAACACCATCCTGGGAGCCCTGTGACCGGCACTGCAGATAACCAGCCCTGTGCCTCCTCCAGCAGCTGGCTGCAGCAGCTGTTAGCTCTAGTGTTAATGGCTCCATTTGGGAGGGCAGGGACGTGGACACAACACCCCAGGCACCTGTGCCCTCCACAGAGACACCCTGTCGGCAGCTGCCCGTCTCTGTGCTAATTCCCCTCCTCCCCTCAAATACTCTTCTCAGAGTGTGGGGGTGCTATGCCAATGGTACAGCTGATGGGGGCTAAATGTAGAGAAGGCAAGGGAGATGGGGAAGGTTGTATTTCAGTGAACACAGAATGTGTAGAGAGACGTGTGTGTACGTATGTACAGTGTATACTTTTATAGCATATATAGTTTTTTATTTTTGTCCAATTTTAATTTATTTTTAGTTTTCAACAATCACTTCCATAAAGTTTTGAGTTTTAAATTTTCTCCCCCTCTCTCCCAACCTCCCTCCCCAAGATGGTGTACAATTTGATATAAGCTCTACATGTGCATTCCTATTAAACATATTTTCACATTAGTCATGTAAAGAAGAATTAGAACTAATAAGAGGAACCACAAGAAAGAAGAAACAAAACAGAAGAAAAAAAGCAAATAGTGTTAATCAATCTGCATTAGAAATCCTGGATGTGGATAAGCATGTATGTTTTTACACACGAGGCATACATGCTTTCATTATTTATATTAAGTAGTGTGTGTGCGTATGTGTGTGTGTAAAATCCCTCTTCTACCTGACTGCCCTTCAAATATTTGAAGATGGCCCTTAGACAAGAAGTAATATGGAGAAGGGAGGGAACAAAGCCTGCATGCTTTCCCAGAGCCTGCATGAGAGGGCCAGGATTTCTGGAGGCCTGACTGCCAACCTGGAAGGCAGAGCCTTCCAAGAGGAAAGTCAGTCATTGGCCTCTGGGGAAGTCTCAGCCTGCACGTTGTTGGGGGGTGGAAGTGGGGAAGGGCAGAGACACCCCCCAAGAAAACCATCCGGGGCTCCTACCTACCTGTGCATGGGTCTGTGATGTGTGTGTGTGTGTGTGTGTGTGTGTGTGTGTATGTGTGTGTGTGCTCTCGTGCATGTGGCCCTGCCCGTGTCCTTGGGTGGGTGGGTGAAGCCAGGGCCAGTTTTTGAAGCTGCTGTGCCCCCACCCCATTAGATGGACCAGTAAAGAATTATGGAAGAAATATCCCAGGAGGAGCCCTCAAGCAGATGTTCTTCACCTGAGATCCACAGATAGATCTCAGAAAGTCTGTGAACCTGGAACTATGAATATTTTGAAAACTATTCAATACAATTGGTTTTTATTGCAATCCTGTGTATTTTATGCATTTAAAAACATTGTTCTGAGAAGAGATGCAGATAGCCAGAGAGGTCCAGGATACAAAAAAGATTAAGAACACCTGGTCTAGAGGATTTCTCAGGTCAGGGGCCTTGCCACCACTGCCCCACACTGTGCCACCCTCTCTGCAGCTGAGTTGGTGCACAACAGAAAAGGAGGTTGGCCAGCTGCTGCCATCCAGTGGGCTTTATTGAGATTTCAAGGGGATGGGTGGGGCTACCCCTGCCCTTGGGGGCTCAGCCGGCTTTCCAAGATTTCCTCAACCCAGGTGAGGAATTCAGTGACATGGGTGCATACCACTGGCTTAGAACGGACACGATCGTCACTGTCCCAGAAGGCTATGCCCATCAAGGTCCACGGGCCCACCTTTTAGCAGACCAGGGGCCCACTGGAATCACCTTGGGGAGAGAGAGAGGTGAGAATCAATGGATACACTTTTATTAAGTTCCTCGAGTGTGATATGCACTAGGGTCATTAAATCCCCTTCTCCACATATTTACTTTGTATATACTTTATATATTTACTTTGTATATTTTTTATGCAGTGATAGCTAGTGGTTACTACTTTTAATAGCCACATAAATGTAATAGCTGTTACACATGTTTCAGATCTGCAAAACCTTTTACATGTAGCATCTAATTTAATCCTCTCAGTAACTTTGCAAGGGTATTACAGTTATCCTTCCACATCACAGGTGTTAATGGCACGTCACCTCTGCAATCCACATAAAATGTTTTGGCCCTCCCTTCTTACCAGAGAGGAAGTTTGAACTATTGTGGCATTAAAAGATAAAATATGTTGATATTATACAATACTATACTATATTGTATGCATTTCTGAGTTTCTCAACATTGCTGTCATCTGCTGGCCTTCACATGTCACCTGCGTCTTCTACAAAACTCCCCGAAGATTCCCATTTAATTTCTTAAGCCAATCCGTGATATATCAAAACCATGATGGAGAAAGTCATAATATGGAAGGGATAAGTGTATTACCCTTATTTTACAGTTGAGGAAAGTGAGGCACAGTGGAGTTAAGGGACTGACCAGGATCACACAACAAGTGACCGAGGCAGGCCTTCCTGACTCCAAGTCCAGCACTATTCACTAGACCACCTAGCTTCCACGTCAACTCGAGAGTAGGGGTTATTTCATTTTTGGAGTAGCTTTTATTAAACACCTAAAAGGTGCTTAATAAAATTAATAATTCTTGATTAATTTACATCCCTAGACTCAAGGAACTTACCTTCTAAGGGCAAGATAACATATACATAACATTATCTAATTCTTCTCACCACAACACTGTAGATACTAGTGTTAATCCTGATTTCAGAGGTGAGAAAACTGAGGCTGAGAAGTGGAATTTGTGGTGGGATGGTTAGAGATGGACATAAAGAAGGAAAAAGAACTGGTCCCTTTAGAAAAGGAGGCTGAATGGAAAGAGGCCTGGCTTTGGAGGCAGAAGATGTTTTCCAGTTCTGCCTCTTGCTAGCTGTATGACCTTGGCCGAGTCACCTAACTTAGCCTCAGTTTCCTGCTCTGTAAAATTTGATGGTTGGACTAGATTTCCTCTCTCTAAAGCTCTGAACCTCTGATCTGTGAGGGCTGCGGGGGACACTGGGATTAGAGCAGGGAGAGACCCCCTAGGTGATGGGCCCAGGAAGGAAGGCAGACTTGAGGGAGGGCATTAAGAATGCTCACACTTGTGTATCATCCTGTGGTTTGCAGAGTGCCTTCTCACAGCCAGCCTCATGAAGCAAGCCATGCCAGTGAGCATTGCCATTTCGAGGCAGCTGGGTGACACAGTGGATAGAGCCTGGAGCTGAGTTCAGATACTTATGGGTTGTGTGACCCTGGCAAGTCACTCTCTGCCTCAGTTTCCTTAACTGTGAAATGGGGAAAATAATCACATCTACCTCCCAGGGTTGTAAGAATCCAAATATGGAGTTCTTAGCCCAGTACCTGGCACACAGGAAGCATTAATAAAGGCTGCTTCCTTCCTTCCCGCTCCATTTTACAGACGGGAGTAGAGGAGCAATGTTGATGAAGGACGAGGTTTGGAGAGACATAGAAACCCTCACCCTGCAGGAAGAGGCCCCTTTGACTGCAGCACACACCACCTCTGGGCTGATCATGCTGCCCTAGAACTTCGTGCATTAAGTATTGGACAGGAGGGAGGGGCAGGGCTGCCAGCTGAAGCTTCTTGGGCCCTTTGTAGTCTGGAGAGAGAGACAGAAGGGTGTGTGAAGGGGAGTATCCTGTCAAGGACAAGACTGATGAGATCACTGATTTCAGCTTGGAAAGGGTCTTGGGGTCACTGAGTCCAGCTGGGGCCCAGAGACTTTGCCCAAGGCCACAGAGGTAGCCACAGCCTTGCCCTGTCCTTCACAGAACACTCACCATTGTAACTGGTCCTGCCCCAGCTGCTGGTGACACAAATGGAGTCTTCAGGGAAGTAGTCACTGGCACTAGGGATGCAGACAGGGGCCAAGGTGGCTGAGAATCGGACGGGTGTGGGCAGCTTCACTAAGGCAAAGTCACTGTTGTAGGGAAGCTTGGTATATTTGGGGTAGTGGAAGACCTAAGGGGTGGAGGGGAGGGCCGGGAATCAGGTGGGGAGCTTCTGCTCAGGGGCTCACCCTTGCCCCCAGGAGCATCTCAGAGGGACAGGCCAGTGTCCCATTCAGGAATGCCTGAGCCTTGTGAACCTGGAGAAGGCTAGCAATCTGCCCACAAGATCTAGTCATTCCCCTGCATAGCTTAACCTCCCCAGTCCAGGGCAGGGGGCATCCTGCACTGAGTGACTGAATAATTCTGCTCTCAGAACAAAACAGAGAAGTAGGGAAGAGTTCAGAACATTCAGAGTGACCCCCCCAAATGGAATGGGCTCTCATAAGGTTGTGAGGTCCCCATCACCTTCAAAATATCCAGCAGGGGATTCGTGATGAGATAGGAGTTCACTTAATCCACTTCTGAAATGTTCTAAATTCTAAATTCTAAATCCTGGCTTGGAAGTCAAGGGTTACTTGTGGAGATGGGTGCCCCATTGGCCACCCTTGGTCTCAGCCTGACAGTAGTCCCGGCCCCCCACCAGTGCCCCCACCAAACCTAGCCTATACTTGGTCAACCTTTTTTTTTTTTTTGGTGAGGCAATGGGGTTAAGTGACTTGCCCAGGGTCACACGACTAGTAAGTGTCAAGTGTCTGAGGCTGGATTTGAACTCAGGTCCTCCTGACTCCAAGGCCAGAGCTTTATCCACTGTGCCACCTAGCTGCCTCCCTGGTCAATCTTCAGGACCTGAATGTCCTCCTCATCAGAGCCCTGGTCAAATTCACCAGCTACCACCTTGTAACTCCTGGTGTGGGGGGAAAGGAAGGCAGGGAGCAGCCTGTGATGAGAACCAGGCAGGTAGTTATTGGGGTTCCGCCAATCCCCACCCAAACCCAGCTCACCCTCTCCCCCACCCTCCTGCCCCAAAAGTTGGAAGCCTCTGTCTTCTCTGGTTCATAACCTGGGGGCCATGACCTTGGAACTTTTGATAGTTTGAAAACTCTACTTCTATGCAATTGGTTTCTTTTGTAATCCTCTGTATTTTACTTTGTACATAAAAAATTATTTTCAAAAGATCCTGATTTTCACCAGATTGCTCACAAATAACCCTTGGCCCAGCCCCTCCAGAGCTGTCCCTTAACTTACTTGACTTTGCAGTAGGCAGCAGTGATCACCCAATCCTGGCTGATGAGGGACCCTCCACAAAAATAGAAGCCATCAGTAAGCTGGGGGAGAGAAAGAATAGATGGGGCAACCCTCCCCTCAAGGGGCAACCCTCCCCTCAAGGGCCCACCCAACAAGAGGAGGAAGAGGAGAGGAGGAAGAAGAGAAATGGGCATCTGGAAGAGAGCTGCCCTGCCTGGTGTTTCTGTTTCCCCATAAGAACCAGCCTCAGCCAATTCTCAGCCTCTTATAGGCTGGGCAAATGCACACAGTAGGAGAACTTGGATTGAGTCCTGACTGTGCTGCTTATGGCTGGTGTGACTTAGGCAAGTCCCTTAACCTGTTTTGGTTTCTTCCTCTGTGAAACAGGCACATTTGTAGTTATTCACGTGTTGTTTCTCCCATTAGAATGTAACCTTAAAGGCAGGAATGATGTTTTGGCCTTGCTTTGTGTCTCCAACTCTTAGCACAGTGCCTGGCACACAGTAGGTTCTTAATAAATGCTTATTGATGGACTGGTTGGGTTGGAGTAGATGAGCTCCAGGTCTCTTCTGGCCATAGGTCCTGAGATCTTAGTCTAGCTGGGCCTAAATCTAGTCCTGTTGGATATCGGAGCCGCTGAGGCTCCATACCTGGTTCCATTCCTGTCACACCTTCAACAGAACCCTGTCCCTCTATCCTCTCCAGCCCCTTCCATCAGGCCCAGGTGCCAGGAGACCTTTGTATGCCTTCCCTTCCTGGGCCAAACACTCAGGGCCTTCTACCCCTTTCCTGGGGAGGGGGACAGGGGCATTTCCCATCCTACCAGCCCGCAGCCTCACCTGTAAGGAGACCTGCCAAGACCAGGAGCCAGGTCCAGCCAGGACTGGTTCAATAGCAGGGACTCCACAGCCTGGAAGAGGGTATTGGAATTATAAACTGAAAGCCAAGGCTGAGACTCAGCCCCGCCCCCCCCCAACATATACACGGACTGGCTGAGTCTTGGGCAAATCCCAACTTGCAGACTCAGTTCCTCATCTATAAAATGGGGATAATGATAGCCCCTGCCTCCCAGGTTGTTGGCAGAATCAAATGAGATAATAGAAGTAAAGTACTTTGTAGACCTAAAAGTGTTATGTAAATCATAGCTAATAACAACAATAATAAATCCTATGATCCTGCATCTGAACTGTCCAGGGGACTCCACACTTATCTGAAGCAGAGCCAGTGACAGCCAAGTGGAAGAGGAACAAGAGGAAGGCCGTGGGGCTGGTGGTCAGGAAGTGAGGGGCTGGTCTTGAAGCTGCCTCCTTATATCTTTGAGCCCCATTGAGTTACTCCAGGTGGGCAGCAAACTGAGATCCTCTCTGAGGGTCCTTCAGGTGGGTCCCAGGGCCCCTGCTCCCTGCCTGTGCCTGAGAAAGCCACAGCTGGTCCTGACTTCACCTGGAGCCAGGGCCTTCAACCCCAGGTGGCAGCCTGTCTTGAGATTATTTTGGCCATTGAACCAAGGACAATGAAAGCAGTGGGTATTTGCCCATGTCTTCCTTCAGGCTCACCTCCAGCACACAGCTGCCTCCTCTCCCTTAATTCCAAACATTATTTAGAGGTCCTTTTGTCAGTTCTGCTCAAAGCCTTTGGTGGAGATGAGTGTGAGTGTGGGTGTGTTTGAATGTGTGTGTGAGAGAGTATGTGTGAGAGAGAGTGTGTGTATGTGAGAGAGAGAGAGAGAGAGTGTGTGTATGTGAGAGAGAGATAGGGTATGTGTGTGTGTGAGAGATAGAGTGTGTGTGTGTGTGTGCGTGCGCGCGCGCGTAGGGGGACTTTGGCTCCTGGGAAGCAGCCTGAGAGGGAGCTGGTGCCGTGTCCTCTGAAGTGTGATAGTTCAGGTGCCATGGCCTACAGAGCCCCACCTCCCAGTTGTTGGCCCTCCCCACCTCCTCCCAAAATGACTTTGTACTTACTTATACAGATGGGCCCTCACCACTTCTGATTGTTGAGCTTTTGCCCCAAGCTTCTGCGTGCATCCCAAACCTCCATGCCATCTTTTGGCCATCCTTTCATTCTGCCCCACCCCAGCCATGGGTACTCCCCTTTCCAGAACCTCATATCAGTGGTCTTCCCCTTTTAGAGTGTAAGCTCCTTGAGGGCAAGGATCCTTGGAGGCTTGTATTTGTACCCCCCAGGTGAGGAATGCAGGAACAAATTGTTCTCATCCACCCATTCTGCTGGGGGAAGTCTTCACATGCTTGGAGTAGATATCTCTCTAACTCACCTACAGGTTTGAGGCCTGTACCTGGGGGTACAAATACAAGGCAATGACAGGCTCCAGGGTGGGGCCAACACCCAGAGCTCTTGCCCTACACTCTCTGTACCAGGGAGGGACCACTCCAGGACTGGGCTCTGGGAAGAAGGAAGGAAGAGAAGGAAAGGGGAGAAATCTCCAGAGGAGGCCATAGGCCCGCTTTGCCCCGCCACCCCACCCCAGGCACTGACGCAGGAATGAGAAACAACTCCTCTTCCTCCCAAGAGTTTTATTTCGACCTCACACAGTCACATGGGAAATACATGAGACCGTGCCCCTGCAGGAAGCTCAGTTGGCAGCCAGGGTCTCTTGCACCCAAGGCAGGAGCTCGGTGACACGGGCATACACCCCAGGGCTGGAGGTGGAGCAGACGCTACTGCCCCAAGAGACAATGCCAACCTGGAACCAGACGTCATCCTTCTGGCAGACCAGTGGGCCACCAGAGTCACCCTGCGGACAAAGAGATGGGAGCTCCAGGTCCAGCTTTCTGGATGGCAGAAGTGGGAAGGAGGAGGGAAGGAAAAGACTGGGTAAAGAAGGAAGGAAAATGGGCCAAAGGGTTTAGGAAGAAGGGCTGAGCCATTAAGGAGGGTCCTGGGGAGAGGCAAGATTGGAGCTGGAGGGAAGAGCCTGGGGGTGGGGGGAGGGGGAGGGGCAGACAAGAGGTGGGAGAGGTTCTCTTCTCTATCTCTTTCTCATTTTTTTTTCATTTTCTTTTTTTCCCCCTCTGGAGGCAATCAGGGTTCAGTGACTTGCCCAGAGTCATACAGGTATTAAATGTCTAAGGCCAGATTTGAATTCACTCAGTCTTCCTGACTCCAGGCCCAATACTCCATGCGCTATGACACCACCTAACTGCCTGGTATATATTGCGTGCTTAATAATGCTTGTTGGCTTTTGTCTAGAATCTTAATTGTCCTCTGTAAGCTCCTTGAAGGCATGATTCCTTGTCCCTTTCTGGGCTTTCCCGGTGTCTAGCAGAGATTCGCATATAACAGGCATTTAATAGATACCTGCTGAGTGAATGAATAAAGAGAAAGATGGAGAGCTGAGGGGTGAGGTAAAGATCAGAAGACAGCTGCGGGGAACAAGGCAAGGTTAAGCCTAGTTCTGGGGGTACACGACCCCCAGACTAGCCTAGAGTCTTGGGAGGGGTGGGGGAAAAGAGGCAGGTACCATGCAGGAGGAAACACCACTGGCGCCAGCACAGATCATACTGTCTTTGATATCGTTTCCCCAGTACTTCTTGCACTGTGTGTTGGACAGGAGAGGCAGAGAGGCTTGTTGGAGCTTCTTGGGGGTTTGGCTATCTGGAAGACCCCAAGACAAGAGCAATATTACCCAGAAGGCAGAGCCTCAACCCATTCCAGGAGTCCTGAGGGAGAGGAAGGCTATGGCAATCCTGTATCTTTCAGCCAAGACTTTCAGCTAGGATTCCCCCCTTGATGCCCTCTTTCCCCTCTCCAAACTCACTGCTGAACTTGGTCAGCCCCCAACCAGTGGTGGCACAGGTATAGCCTTCAGGGAAGTCATCGGCAGAGCTGGCAAGGCAGATTGGGGACACAGTGTCCGAATATTGAACAGGCGTGGCCAGCTTTATCAGAGTGATGTCATTGCTGATGGTATTGGAGTTGTATTTGGGATTCTGGAAGATCTGTGGGAGAGATAGCCATGGCTAAGGAGATGCCCCGCCCCATGCCCCTCTTACCCCCACTTTTATGGGCCATCCTGGCCCCTGCAAGTTTAGCTTAGCTTCTTCCATCATTCTTGAAGTCCATGGCCTTCCTCACCTCTACCTCGTGGAATTCTTCCTTTCCTTCCAAACTCAAGTCAGCTCTATCCCTGTATTCTTCCTGATAGCCATGATAGCTAACACTCTCCTCCCCCATTACTTTATTTATTTTGTATATGAAAGTGTGTGCCCCATTTTAGACTTCAGCACATTTTCCTGGTTCAGTGAGAGAGCTCAATCTAACTTATGGCAATTATTTGGTACAATTCCCAAATCTTCATTTCTGCAAGTCAGACCAGAGCCAGGAAATGGCCAATTGCTCAATAAACTCCACATAGCTTTGGGAGTCAGGTTTGCTCAGGTTTTTTTTTTTAAATGCTAACCTTTTGGTTTAAAAATGAACTGCTGCACCTGCATAACCTATATCTATTTGCTTACCTCCTTGATGAGGGTGATAGGGAAGGAGGAAGAGAATTTGGAACTCAAAATTTTGAAAATGAATGTTAAAAATTGTTTTTATATTTAATAGGGGAAAATAAAATATTAAATAATTTTGAGAAAGGAAAGTTTAAAAGAAAAAGAAAAAAATTGAGTTGCTGGGGTAAAGAAGCACCCAAGACAGTTCCTGTCCAGGGAGCTAGTTAATTTTCACTGACCTTTTCATATGCAAATGAGATCATTAACAGAGACTCAGTGAAGTGTGCCAGGCTTCAGTCCCCCCAGAAAGGGCCTTTGGTCTCACTGTCTTCTGCCTTGCCTCTTACCAGTACAAGTTTACTGAACCCTACAAGGGCCACACTCTTCACACAAGTATTTTGAATCTATTTATCTGTAGAAGGTATTTCCCCCAATAGAATGTAAGGACTTTGAGGGAATGAGCCCTTGAATTTTTGCTTTTGCATCCCCAGGTCTGGCATCATGTCCTGGCAAATTGTAGACTTGGGATAAATGCTCATCGGATGAACAGATCCACGAATAATCCTTGCCTCCATGCCTCTGGGGACCCTGCCAAATGCCGTCCTTTAGGAGAGTCGAACATTCACCCCTCAACTAGCCTGGAAAGGTCACAGGTCACATGGGCCATAAGGCCAGAGGTCCAGAAGCTTGGACCACAACTGCTCCCATTAACCCCCTATGCCTTCAGCCTGCAGGCTGAGCTGGTGTCAGCTTGCGGACTCATTCTTTGGCCCATAGGTGTTCATCCTCCAGCTGAGAGCCCTTGTCCCTGAGCTCTGGGAAAGCTTTACTACTTAAACAAGGGAGGAGAGAGGCTGTAGAACATGGCTGGTTCCCTAGCCCACCCACCCCAGCACTGGCTGCATGCATTCACTGCCTCTCCCTCTTCTTTCCCCATGCCAGCCCTACAGAACCCACATGAAGACCCAGACAAGGTGGCCCAGACCCCACTGGGCACACACTGGGGACTATCATGTTAGTTTGGGCAAAGGCAATGGTTAACCTGGGGATGTGTGGCTTGTGGGGGCTGGTTGTTAAATTTTTAGTGTGAGCATTGGCAAACACTAAGAATTAGGGTTTGATTTATTGTCTTGTTAATTGTTTAGACTCAGTAAAGCCATAATATAATACAATAATTATGCAAAATAATATATAAAATATAATATATAAATAATAATGCAAAAAAATAAGGCAGATCACTCTTAAAAGTGTTTCCCACAATGCAGTATTCCCCTAGAGAGCTGGTTGTTAAACACTTATCAGCACACCCCTAGTTCTAGCCCTTCTGGGCTCTATAGTCTGCTCTCCACCTCTAGGTGAGCTATTAGGCTCGTCACCAGCATCCTCAGAACTTCAGGCCTGAGACAGGCTAGAATAATGAATAGAGCCCTGGATTTGGAAGACCTGAGGTCAAATCCTGCCTTGGGTGCTACCAGATTATGCATGTGTGACCCTCAGCAAGTCACTGTCTATGCCTCAGTTTCCCCATCTATAAAATGAGGGGGTCGGATTCACTGGTTCTTTTCAGCTCTAAATCTATGAGCCTAAGTTTCAATGATTCCCAAACTCTGAGTCAGGTGCTGTATATTGAAAACTCCCCCTAAATCCTTGACAGATCAGCTCCCAACAGAGCTCTAGCTAACCCTGTTACCTGCTCTAAGGCTTAGTCCCACCTTGCCCCTTACCCTCATGCAGGGCAAACTGGTCTATCTCAGGCTGGCTGTCTGCCCCGCCTCTCCCAGGAATGTGCTTAGGGCGACCAAGGAATGGCCCAGAAATGCAGGCTCAGCATCTACTGGAGCCTGACAGAGTGAGGAGTGACCTCTGTCCTTTGCAACAACAGACAGCATTCCCCAAAGGCCAAATATGGAGGATTTGGGGAGTAGCCAATCGCCCCTTCTTCCTGATGGGTTCTCAAACTTAACTCCTCCATTTCTGAATTCCCAGACTGTGTTTAGACTCTACCAGGAAATCCAGCCCTGACTGTGGGCTCCCCAAGGGCAGGACTCACTCTCCGCCCCCCCATCTCCCACTGGGTGTGCAACAAGGCACGTCCTTAAGGTGATTGGACTCAAGAAGAGTATGGTACATCGTAAAGGGGCGTGGCTTCGACTCTCAGCTCCACTGATGACTGCCTATGAGGAAGAAACTCGACCAAATCATTTAACTGTTCTGCACCTCAGCTTCTTCATCTCTAAGAAGGGATGGGATTTAATGATCTTTATGGTCCCTTCCAGTTCTGGGTCTGTGAGCCTGTAAGTCTGGTTAGTGTATCTTCTGCAGAAGTATATCTTGTGCTAGGAAATATACAGAGGCAAATACGGCAGCCTGACCCCCTCAAGAGATTCAGGCCTAGTTGGAGGTTTGGCTTGAGGGTGATTCATTGCTTTTCCCCTCCCCACTCCCTTAGGAGTCTCTGGGCGTGGCTATACCTTGTTGATCTTCAGTACTTGGATGTCTTCCTCATCAGAGCCCTGGTCAAACTCCCCAGCAATCACCAGGTCAGATTGCCTATGATAGAGAGAATAGAGAACTAGACCTTTCCCTGTCTCAGGGAAGAGAGAGGCTCCACCCCACAGGGCTGTCTATGTATGGAGCACCATTGGACTTCATCTGGTCTATGCATTTGTGTGCTGTTCTGGGGAGGGTGGATGGGGATTCAATTCAGGACCATCTTCTGAAGGGGGGACATGTTCTGTAGACCACCCCCTTGTTCCCACACCCTCACAAGGCTGGAAGTGCTATTCTTCCTTTGTGCCTACTTCCCGCCCCCCATATTTTCCCAGAAATTCTAGACTGTTTTTATCATAAATGAATTTGGTTGTTATTTTGTCTAATTCCGTAAAGTAGCCAAGAGGCAAGTTGGCACAATGAAAAGAGAATCTGAACTGGTCTTTACTCAGCCACTTATTACCCGTGTGACCCGAGACAATTATTTAATGTCTCTGGGTCTCAGTTTCCTCGACTACAAAGTGTATGTGGTTGGCTTGGACATTGATAAGTCTCTCTGGTCCCCTCCAGTCTACATCTGTGATCCTGCGGTCCTAACCCTTTAATTGCCCTAAGACTATCCATTAATTTAAGCAATATCCTCATTTTTATTAATGTTGGTACAACCCAACCAAGAGCCATAAACTTCTCTCCAATTATTTGTCTTCCTTTATTCCTGTAAGGAGTATTGCTAACTGTATTTCTGTAAGTCTTGAGTGTTCTTGGTAGATGGGTTCCCAATATTTTGTTCATTTGGAATGAGATTTCTCTTTCTATTGTATCATCCTGGGTTTTGTTATTACTATAGAGAAATGCTGATGATTTTTGTAGATTTATTTGGTATCCTGCTGCTTTACTGGATCTATGAATTGTCTCAATTGATTTCTTTGCTGATTCTCTGGGATTCTACAGCTCCAGGAAGGAAGTGAATTCTTCCCAGTCCTTACCAGACGTCACAGTGGGCAGCAGTGACCACCCAGTATTGGTCGATGATTGATCCACCACAGAAGTGGTAGCCGGTTTTGTCCTGGGGTAGAGAAGACAGAGGAAACCAGATACTACAGAGCAGTGAAACCTCAGGGATTCTGGGACTCAGGCACAGCCTAGGGATTGGGCTAATCAAGGATTCTGGCTGTCCCACCCCTGAGCTTCAGGCCTTCAGGCTCTAGGACTGTCATTCTGCCCTGAAGGTCCTATAATGGACAGAACCACCCTCTCAGGGAGCAGGGGCCAGACTCTTACCTGAATAGAGACCTGCCAGGGCCAGGAGCCAGGGATAGCATTTTCACCATTGACGATCCTAGACAGGCCCTTCACAACAGGCGTAATGGCAGGGACCCCACAGCCTGGAGGAGACGTCAAGATAGGATGGAAAAGGGGAGACTCGGGGATGCTGACAGTGTCTAAGCCCCAAGCCAGGTTAGGAAGCTGGGTAGCCCAGCTCACCTCTGATGGAGAATGACTCTTCATTTCAGATCTCAAAAATGTGTTTTTCATACATCTCTGAATTATTTCCTATGTAATGTGAAGAGGCAGCTGGTTTCAAATATAGCCTCGGACTAGTTCTATGACCCTCTGGGCCTCATTTTTCTTATCTATAAGATGAGGGAGTTGGAATCACTGATCTCAAAAGTTCCTTCTAACCCTAAATCTATAATCCTGTGATCATGTCAGTTGACATTCTGTGGGCCTCAGTTTTCTCATCTGTTAAATGGGCAAATGGGTAGGGATACCTCCAAAGTTCTTTTAACTTTAAATTTACAGTGCCAGGATTCTAATATCTGCATTGTAGTTGTCCATGTTCTAAAGTCTTCTGTCCTGACTAGAGTGTAAGCTTCATGAGGAAAAATGCCATGTCCAGCAACTTTATAAATGTACTACCAAGCCCAAGGGATCTGCACACAATCGATGCCTAATAAATCATATAATCTCAGCATTTCAGAGCTGGAAGGGGCCTCAGGATCCTCACATCAACAGATCGATGGTCATCTAGCCTTTGAGATAAAGTCCTCCAGCAAAGGGAATCCACCGTCTTCAAAGGAGTCCTGTGTGGACAGCTCTTCTTGTTAGGAAATGTTTCCCTGTATCCAGCCTAAGCCACCCTGTTTGCACTGTCTCCCCATGACGTCTAGTTCTACCCTCCCTCTGCCCTACGACCGTCCTTCTAATATGCGAAGGCAACTCTTGTGTGTCTTGAACCTTCTATTCTCCAGGCTAGAGATCCCAGTCCCATCAACCAATCCGCATAGGGCCTTTAATTCAAGATCCTCTTTAATTCAAGATCTGCAGCTCATCAATGTAAGGTGAGAGAAATGTTGGTTATCAGTTAATCTTTGTCTGAATCCTATTCAGCTTTCAAAGCCTGTCTCCTCCAGTGATTCCTCTCTCTATTTCAAGTCCCATAGAACTTACTGGCATTCTATCTTACACTGCTTTGTATTGTTTGTGTGTGTGTGTGTGTGTGTGTGTGTGTGTGTGTGTGTGTGTGTGTGTGAGATCTCCTCGACCAGATCGAGCTATGTGAGAGCAGGGACTGTGTCTTATATTTGCAGTTTCCACAATGCCTTGCACGGAGTAGGCGCTAAACAAATATACTTGCTAATTTATGGATACTGTTACTGTCTCATCTGAGTCATCCTTTTAGGAGTGTGTTACTGTCTCACCTGAGGGATCATGGGATCACTGAGAAGCCAACTTCAGAGAAGTATGGTAACACCAAAGGAAATATCCCAGTTGTCTCCCTAGAGACCTTGGCTGGGGGACCACCAAGGCTGTGCCCAGGTCAGGGGCATCCTGTCTGTTAGCCCAGGGGAACAGGGACAGCAGCAGCCCTAGCCAATGGGCCTAACTGAGCAGTTTTGGTTTCCTGTATCTAAAGGAGAAATAGAAGAGAGAATTGCTACAGAATTCTGTTCCCCCAGAATCTTACATACCCATAAGCATGTGTGCACGCACATGCACACACGAGCACACTCGGGCGTGCGTGCTCGCACGCACACACACACACACACACACACACACACACACACACACACACACAGAGCACTCACCACCCTGCCTAGATATTTGAGGTTAGGAGAGAGCCCTTCCTTCCTGTCAAGGGAGAGCCTGCCCATGGAAATATCCCTTCCTGGTTCCCAGAGAGGACCCTAGCACTTACCTAAAGAGGTGCCAATGAAGGCAAAACAACACAGGAGTCCCAGGTAGGCCATGGTGATAGGGTTAAGGTAGTATTGGGGTCTGCCCCAGAATTGCCTTCTCCTTATATACTTGTGTTCCACCAATCATACACCGGCCTTGCCTTTGCCTACTTAGGGGTGGGATGGCATCCAGAGATTGGTTCTCATCATTTCTTTTCCTCTGCACCTCTGTTATCAAGAGACCTTGGGGTGATAAGTACATGGGCCACGTTACCTAATCTTCCTGAGTACCTTTCCAGATGTTGCCTGAGGCAACAGGAGAGCTGGCATTGTTACTTGACACCAAAGTAGCTGCTGCCCTGCTGGTTCAACAGAAGGTCCCTGGCAGAAGCCCATCCAAAGCATCCATTGACTTCCAGCAGGACTGGACTCAGCCAAATCCCAGCTGAACTTCCAAGGAGAGGTTCACCTCCTGGAGAGCTTTCCACAGTGAAATTCAACAAGTATTTATTAAGCACATGTTGTATACCAGGCACGGTGCTCAGTCCTGGGGAAACAGACACAAATCAGTGTCTGCCCTCAAAGAGTTCCTATTCTACTACTGGGTGGATTTTGGTGTGGAGAAGTGTCTAGAGGAATGATGGGAATTCCTGATTCCCTAATGACCAGAGGAATAAGGGAAGGCATCTTCCCTTATAATAAGGTGGCTTGAACTGAGACTGGAAGGGTCCTAGGGGATCCAACAGGGGAAGGGGGAGAGCATTCCAGGCCTGGAGGCCAGCTTGTGCAAAGGGCAATGGAAGGTCACGTGTGGAGAACAGCCAGTCAACAATTAGGTCACAGGTAGACAGTGGGAGGGGACTCGGGGTGTAATCATGGAACCAGACTGGGAAAGGCCTTCAATGCTACACAGGAGTTTGTATTTTATTCCAGTAGAAGCAAGGAGTCACTACAGCTTCTTGAGAAGGAAGGAAGGATGGAAGGAAGGAAGGCAGAAAGGGAGGAAGGAAGGAAGGAAAAAAGGAACATCTATGAGCTCCTACTATGTGCCAGGTACTGTGCTGAACAATCTACAAATATCTCATTTGATCGTCACGATAACCTTGAGCCTTGGGTGCTAATACGACCCCCATTTTACAGTTGAACAAACTGACGCAGATGGAGGTCCAATGACTTTCCCAAGGTCACATGGCTAGTCAATGTCTGAGGCCAAATTTGAACTCAGGTCTTCCTGTCTTCAGGCCCAGAACTCTATCCATTGGGCCATCCAGCAACTACCTCTTAAGGGAAATGGCACAGTCAAAACTGTGCTTTATGAATATCAACTTGGCAGCAGTGTGGAGAACGAGTTGGAAAGAGGAGGGCTGGGTACAAATAGACCAGTAAAAAGGCTTTTAGAAGACTCCAGAAATGAGATGATAACTACTCATAAGGAGAGGTAGGAAGGGAGAGTTAGGGATTCCTTCAAGACTGGGAAGCTGTCTGACTCAGACCAGCAATAGGGGAAGTGAAGGGGAGGGATGGGATCAGGGAGAAAGCTAATAAGTATTGGACATCTTGAGTTTGAGTCTGAGATGACTCTAGGACGTCCTAGTGGTAATGTCTGAGAGACAATTGGAGCACAGGAGAGAGATGAGCAGTAGATATATATATTTGGGAGTCATCTCCATAGAGATGAGTGGGATCGATAGGAGCTGATGACATCACTAAGAAAGACCTGAGACAGAGCCCTGGAGTGCACGTACAAGTAGGTGGTGGGAGGGGGGTGATGATATTGAAAAGGGGATTGAGATGGCCCAGTCAGACAGGGAGGAGAAGAACAAAGGGAGAACAGTGTCATGAAAACAGAGACGAGGAAGGGGTTCCCAACACTATAAAATGCTGCAGAAAGGGCGAGAAAGAGGAGACTGAGGAGAAGAATATGGCAATGGAAAGATCATTGGGGACCTTGGAGAGAAAAGATGCAGTTGAGTGGTGGGCTCATGAACCAGATGTTAAGGAGATTAAAGGAGATTAAAATGTGGAAATATGTTTAACATGATTGTACATGTATGACCTTTAAAAATAGGTTAAAAAGTGGAGACAACGAGTACAAATGGCTTTTTCTATGAGTTTGGCCAGGAAGCAGAGGATAGAGGATGATGTAAAGTTAATGATAGGGTGAGAGTTCAAAATGAAACAAGGTGAGACCAGAATGAAGATGATGGACTGGGAGACCAGAGAGAGAGTAGAGTGAATGGAGATTGTGGTAAAGTTGGACAGAGTCAGGAGAGGGAGACAAGGGAGGGCAGTACCCACAGGAGGGTCCAAATGGCAGGAGGCCTTTGAGAATTATGCATGATGGAGGTAGAGCACTAGGGAGAGATGGTGATCAGGGATGTGACCATCTGTGTGTTGAGCTGTTGGGAGTGTGCAGATTGTGAAAGTCAAGGATATTGATGAACCAGGAGGAGATGCCAGTCTGCAGGTTGAAGGGCAGGGCTCGGGGTGGAAAAGAAGTATCAGAGCCAGGTACCGAATTCCTTGAGAAAGGAAGGAGAGATGACTCGGGCGGCCTGGTAGATGACTGTTACCAGGAGCAATGTAAGGTTGTCTATCGGCCTGGAACGAACCGCAGAGCTGCTGCTTGATAGTGGTGGGTGGACAGCCTGGGAGTGGCAGGAAGGCGGAAGAAGCACATGTACCTCTCCTGTTGGCCCAGCACGTGGGCAAAAGAGAGAAGATGCATAGGACACTGAGGAGAAGGAGCAGGGATGCAAGGGGACCCAGGTTCCTGCAATTGCAAGACGATGGAAGGAGGATGAGAAAAGAAATCTAACGAGAAGGAAGCCTTCTTAAGGAAGAGAACATGATTTCCAGCACAAGGGGGACAGAGCAGGCTAAGGCATAGTGGGGCTAGGACGGACAGGTGACAGTGCAGGTTCTGGGTGTGCACCCGACATGTTGTGGTGGCAATAGCAGCCCCATCTTGCTCATTGCTCTGCTTCCTTTTTGTTTGCTTGTTTTTCTAAAATTGTATTTTATTGTGTGTTGTTTTTACTTTGAAGATATTTACAGATTATTTTTACTACATGAAAGTTCTCTCATTACAAAGTAAAACCGTTAAGTAAAACTAACAATACAGTGACCCCATCTGAAAGTGCCAGTACACATTTCACATTTGTAGCCTCCCATTATCTCTCTCTATTAAAAATGAACAAAACCAAACAGAAATATATTCGCTCCCCATCTTATCCCCCAGTCCCGTTTCAAAGAAATAAAAGAAAAGCAAATTTCTCATAACAATTATGCACAAAGAAGACCAATTCCCTTAGTTGATGTATACAAAAATAAAGCTATGTCTCATTCTGCACTTTTAAGTCACTCACCTCTTTGACATGGACAGCACGTTTTATCACTGGTCCTCGGCAATCATGAGTGATCACTTTATTGGTCGTAATTCTTACAGTGTTCAAAGTTGTTCATTTTTACGGTGTTGTTATTGTACAAATTATTCTCCTGGTTCTGCTCATGTCATTCTTTGTCATTTTATAAACATCCTTACACTTGTTCATTTTGCTGACATTGATGTTAGAGTATAAATTGTTCTGTTCCTGCTCACTTCACCTAGTTTATGTAAATCTTTCTACCTCATTTTTTTTTTAGGCAATTGGGGTTAAGTGACTTGCCCAGGGTCACACAGCTAGTGTCAAATGTTTGGTCTGAGGCTGGATATGAACTCAAGTCCTCCCGACTTGAGGGCCGGTACTCTATCCACTGCGCCACCTAGCTGCCTTTCTTACCTCATTTTGAAATGAACATCTTAATGGTCTTCCCACGTATCCATATATACCACAGGGGCAGTTAGGTGGTACAGTGGGCTTGGAGTCAGGAAGACATCTTCATGTCTTCAGACACCTACTAGCTGTGTGACCCTGGGCAAGTCACTTAACCCTGTTTGCCTCAGTTTCCACCACTGTAAAATGAGCTGGAGAAAGAAATGGCAAGCCACTCCAGTATCTTTGCCAAGAAAACCCCACACGAGGTCCCAAAGAGTCGGATATGACTGAACAACAACAGAGTAGCACCTGTTCACAGGTCTACCACCAATGTATCAATGTGCCTGTTTTCTGGTAGCCCCTTCCATATTTATTATCCCCCCCTTTTTTTTTTGCCTCTCTGATAGGTGTGAGGTAGAATCTCAGAGCTGCTTTAATTTGCATTTCTCTAATTAGTAGTGTGTGGCTATAAATAGCCTGAGTTTCTTCCCTTGAGAACTGTCTATTCATATCCTTAGGCCATTTATCAGTTCTGGAATGTTCTTTTTTCTCATAAATTAGAATCAGTTCGTTGTATGTCTTAGAAACACTGCAAAGATTTCTTTCATGTCATTTGTTTCCCTTTTCATCTTAACTTTAGAGGCAGCTAGGTGGTACAATGGATAGAGTTCTGGCCTTGGACTCAAGAGGACCTGAGTTCAAATGCATCCTCAGGTGCTTACTAGCTGTGCGGCCCTCGGCAAGTCATTTAACCCTGCTTGCCTTGCCAAAAAGCAAAAAAACTCCAACATCTTAACTTCATTTTTTATACAAAAGCTTTTTAATTTTATGTAATAAAAATGCTCCATTTTATCATCTATATTCCTCTCTATTCCTTGTTTAGTCATGAACTTTTCTGTCTGCAAACAGCAGTCACAGTCAGACACACTGTACCTTGACTCCAGCATATTGACGTCATTTTGATCTTCTTCCAGAACAAAGGACGACAACCAATCCGTAGATCTGACAGGTCATTTTTTCCATGTTTCTCTCAATTGTTTATGACGTGGCCTTTTATATCTAGGTCATGTATGCATTTGGTGGTTATGTTTGTATAAGGTGTGAGCTACTAGTTTAATTTCTGCCTGACTGCTGTCCAATTTTCCCAGCTGTTTTTGTCAAATAATGAGTCCTTAGCTCAGTAGCAACTCAGTGGATAAAGCTCTGGGCCTGGAGTCAGGAAGACCTGAGTTCAGATCTGGCCTCAGACTCTCACTAGCTATGTGACCTTGGGCAAGTCACTGAACCTTTGTTCTCCTCTACCCACTGGAGAAGGCAATGGCA